GCTTATTCTTCCACCACGTCTTCTACTACCCCCGTTGATTTATGGCTATGGCATCGGCGTCTTGGGCATCCCTCATTTCATTTACTTAAGCATTTATTTCCTTCTAGTTTCGCAAATCATCATGTGTCTGACTTTCTTTGTGAGTCTTGTCAACTTGGAAAACAACATAGAGCTTCTTTTACTCCCAGTTTGAATAAAAGCTTAGTTCCTTTTTCATTAATACATTCTGATGTTTGGGGTCCCTCTCGTGTTCTGTCTGTGAAAGGTCATCGCTGGTTTGTTACATTTATTGATGATTTTTCTCGTGCTACTTGGGTGTATCTCATGAAAGATAAGAGTGAAGTTTTCTCTGTGTTTCGCACTTTTCATAAGATGATTTGTACTCAGTTTGGGGCCACTATCAAAATATTTCGTTCTGATAATGGCGGGGAATACATAGATTCTGGGTTAGGAAACTATTTCTCTACTCATGGCATTATCCATCAAACCTCTTGCACCAATACCCCTCAACAAAATGGGGTAGCTGAACGCAAGAATCGGCATCTTCTTGACATGGCTCGGTGCATGTGTTTTTTTATGAACGTGCCTCAATCCTATTGGGGCGACGCTGTTCTCACCGCTGCCCATCTTATCAATCGTCTCCCTACCCAGGTCTTGAACAAACAGGCTCCGCTTCACGTCCTCCTCGGTTCTCAGTCCTTGTTTTCTATTCCTCCAAAAATATTTGGTTGTGTCTGTTTTGTCCACAATCACTCTCCCTCTCGAGGTAAGTTGGACCCTCGCTCCCTCAAATGTGTTTTCCTTGGTTACTCTCCTACTCAAAAGAGGTATAAATGTTACCACCCTCCTTCCCGTAAATGGTTTGTGTCCATGGATGTCACTTTCTTTGAATCCCAGTCCTATTTCTTGTCCTCTCCCGGGTCACCGTCCTCATTTCCGGGGGAGCCTTAGTGTGAAGTGAGTCCTGTGTCTCCTATGGTAGAAGTGAGTCCTGAGCCTCCTATGGTAGAAGTGAGTCCTGAGCCTCCTATGGTAGAAGTGAGTCCTGAGCCTCCTATGGTAGAAGTGAGTCCTGAGCCTCCTATGGTAGAAGTGAGTCCTGAGCCTCCTATGGTAGAAGTGAGTCCTGAGCCTCCTATGGTAGAAGTGAGTCCTGAGCCTCCTATGGTAGAAGTGAGTCCTGAGCCTCCTATGGTAGAAGTGAGTCCTGAGCCTCCTATGGTAGAAGTGAGTCCTGAGCCTCCTATGGTAGAAGTGAGTCCTGAGCCTCCTATGGTAGAAGTGAGTCCTGAGCCTCCTATGGTAGAAGTGAGTCCTGAGCCTCCTATGGTAGAAGTGAGTCCTGAGCCTCCTATGGTAGAAGTGAGTCCTGAGCCTCCTATGGTAGAAGTGAGTCCTGAGCCTCCTATGGTAGAAGTGAGTCCTGAGCCTCCTATGGTAGAAGTGAGTCCTGAGCCTCCTATGGTAGAAGTGAGTCCTGAGCCTCCTATGGTAGAAGTGAGTCCTGAGCCTCCTATGGTAGAAGTGAGTCCTGAGCCTCCTATGGTAGAAGTGAGTCCTGAGCCTCCTATGGTAGAAGTGAGTCCTGAGCCTCCTATGGTAGAAGTGAGTCCTGAGCCTCCTATGGTAGAAGTGAGTCCTGAGCCTCCTATGGTAGAAGTGAGTCCTGAGCCTCCTATGGTAGAAGTGAGTCCTGAGCCTCCTATGGTAGAAGTGAGTCCTGAGCCTCCTATGGTAGAAGTGAGTCCTGAGCCTCCTATGGTAGAAGTGAGTCCTGAGCCTCCTATGGTAGAAGTGAGTCCTGAGCCTCCTATGGTAGAAGTGAGTCCTGAGCCTCCTATGGTAGAAGTGAGTCCTGAGCCTCCTATGGTAGAAGTGAGTCCTGTGCCTCCTATGGT